GACATCAAATGAATCCCTCATTATCATAGTGTATAGATGAGCGAAACCAACATCATGATAGATGAATGTATGAAAAACTTCATCTACCCAAATATTATCTTTTTAGCCCTTTTTAGTGGAAAACTACACATGCCACAAATGAGATTTGAACCCGTAACAGCATACTAATGATGTGAGGAGAGTTCCTAGCATGATGGTCATAGACAAACCATATCAGTCAATGTTAAAGAGACCAACCAAAAAATAAAACTAGAAGCATAATCAGATACAGGGTAGGGTACACGTCTCCTAGCAAACAATGACAAAAGAAACAAAGTAGAGAAGAGACCAATTATCAGTACCAAACGCTAATAATCATTTATATCTGCCAAAAAAAAGTTATATTTAAAAAAACTCATACAACTTTAACATACTGAAATAAAAGTTCTATAACAGTTATAGAAGGCTATACTAGAATTGAGAAAGCATATTAAATAGAAGATGCTAAAGCATATAAAGGCCATGAAATGGGATCCCGAAAGTTAAAATAAAGTAGATAAGCCAATGATGGCAACAAAGGATAAGATATTTCAGCCCAAGAGTCAGAAGTCTTACGGAGCCATCCAGCGATATGTCCCAGTCTCTGGTGTCATTCCTTCTGTCTGCACCTCAATACGGGCAACCCCAAAATCAGCAATTTTTATTGATTTGTCTGAAGAAATCAACAGGTTGTCAGATTTTAAGTCCCTGTGAATCAGCCCAAGCCCATGAACATATTCAATCCCCCTCGCAACATCCAAAGCTTGCTTGACTGCTAATTTCAATGGAACTGATCGGCTCTGCCGCTTTGCTAAGAATTGCCTAACTGAACCCCCCTTAGCATACTCAGTTACAATGCACCAAACCATTGGTTTACGGCAGGCACCAATAAAACGAACTATGTTTGGATGCTTCAACGTAGCCAGCATCATCACTTCCTGTTGAAACTGTTGCTCCATCAGCTGAGCCTTTTCTGGGTCATTCTCTGGCCGCTCCAAGAGTTTGATAGCAACATCTTCGCCATTGTAAGTGCCTCTATATAGCTTCCCAAAAGCACCTTGTGCAAACGCTTCACCCATGTTTAGCTTTCTTAAGTCAATTGTCCAGTCCTCGTAATTCTCAAGCCCCTCTGTCGAGGAATGGATATCCATTAGAGCTCGAGCAAGTTGATCATCACTGAGAGCATGTGTGACTCTTCCTCGGCGGTTAACACTCTGTGCAACAGAGTAGTTATCCTTTGCACGTCGTCGCAGCCCTTGGTGGTTCAAGATGTGAGTTTTAGAATCATTAGTATTTGAAGCAACACTGCTGTTGTCTATAGACATGGCAACAGAGCCTCCGTCATTGCTAGTTTGCAAACTGTCGATGGACATGTTGGTACCCTCACCCTCATGGAGTTTGTGGTAAAAGCCTTGCGACAAATCATCAAAGTTGTTATCATGGTTGTTTAGACCAATTATTCCAGTGAATTTGGCACCGCTCTCCAACATTTCCTTCTCCCAGATAAAAGCAAAGCCTTCAAAATTTCCCTACTCCTTCAGCATACAAAATTTCAAATTTCAAACTCAACACACCCTTCTCTCTCAAAACCCTGAAAAGAGAAAAGAATTGACCCACGAAAATTTGTTAAGCATACCATTTTCGAAATTGAATCATATGACGAGCAACGACCAGCAAATACAGAACTCTACGATTACTATAATAGTGATATTTAAATTACTACCATATGTGGAAACTGTACAAAACAAGACACTCTAGGACTAGCATAATTCTGGCTGAAATTCCGAAGTTTAAAGGAACCGAGAAGGTATATTTTAACTTGATTCACACCACCAAATCAACTCAATCAAGAACGACAGTAAAGCAAATATATATGGAAATTTACTAATTCTTAAGAACAACACATGGGTCCTCACCAGCAAATAGGGAATCAAAGAACACACCCAAAACAAATATTAAGAACAAAAAAAAAACTGAAATTTAACAAAAAGAACAAAGAAATCGACAGTTCATTCCTATGAAGAGGAGTAAAAGGACATCACAGAATAGGAAAAGTCTTAAAAATGGGAAATTGATTCTGATCCCCTGAAACACAAGCTGCCAGCAAAATTCCAGCGAGCTACATGAAGAGAGCAGAGATGGAAACCTACTAATTAGATGTTTGCTCTGATTGAAGAGAGCTAAGACAAAACGTACCTCAGTCAATCCACCGTAGCAATCTCCGATTGAAGAAGATCGAATGGAATCGACGACACGGGAAACAAAGACCTCTTCTTCTCAGTCTCCCAAGTCGTCCCTTCTTCTATCTCTCACTTTCCTTTTCTTTTTTTTGTTTCTATAATTAATGTTTAATGTTTAATGTTTTTTTCTTTTTACATTTTATTACAGGAGGAAAGTCTTGCGTGTAATGAATCGCACCCTCTCTCTTCATTCAGGTAAACTTTTTTGTTGTGAAGAAATAATTTTTTACTTTTTATCGTTTCTGGAAAAAACTCAACTACAAAACACGCTTTCATTAATTTAATTTAATACTAGCATAAGCTAATGAAAGTGAAAGTGAATCTAGTGAAGGAGGTGAGGTATTAGTAATGAAGAATTATAAGAAGCTTTTGATAAGTTGTCCAAACAGTTGACTATTCTAAAGAATGAGAAAGTTTAGTGGTAAAAACGAAAATTCTTCTTTGTGTGTTCAATTGACTGAAATGTTGTGCTTAAACGTGAAAATTCTTCTTTGAGTGATAAATTTCATGCTAATGTTGTGATTGATAATTCGTGTTTGAATGACAAGATGAATGAGAAAGAACTTGAGTTGAGTAAATTGCACGAGAAAATTAGTTTTCTTGAGTTTAATTTGTTATTTATTTATTAAAGAGCAACTTCATTAAATAACATTCAACAATACAACGTAAACATCAACATGACATTTAAAGAATCATTTTCAAAAGGGCAACAAAACTAACATATTGAAAAGGCAAAACTAAAATGGACAAAAACCGCACAAATAATTACATAGCCCAAATCACTACGATTAAACATTATCTCAAGCAAAGCTCACAAAACCTAAAATAACCAAAACCCCAAAAGAGTCGAGTTAGGTTGAGATCACCGAACTTTGCGAAACTTTGCAAGATGGGAATAAAAAGCTCAAATTTGGTCTTGAAGAGTCTAAAGAAAAGATTAAAACTTTAACTATTGACTCCGAAAAAGTTGATAACATGAACATATTGGAGTAACAATTTATAAGTTTATCTTTTTTTTTTAGTGCTACTAAACGAACCCTAAAATTAATTGAGTACACCCTACTATCAAATTATTTATTGAATTACTAATTTAGCCTAATATAAAATGACCAAAAAGGATATATTGAATTGTGTACCCCACTATGTACACCATCCTTAAGACTTGACGCATGTCCATTGTTATAACTATGGTCAACTCTTTAATTTTAATCTTTTAAAGTATTTAAAACCAAAAGATAAAATAAAATTTTAAAAAGAGAAAAAAAGCTCTCTCTCCTTCCCGACCCACCCCACTTTGAGACGAGTTGAGATATGCTGTCCCCAAATTCCCAATCTACCAAATCTCCCTAAATTAGATTGAAAACCCACACCTCTCTCGAAAGATTGAAGACAATATATTTAATTAAGAATTAAAATCTTTATTTTACTACTTGAGCTTTTGAACCCATGCCTTCAAACAAATTGACTTAATTTTTAACATACAACTCGGAATCCAGGAGAAGTGTATTGATCCCAGTTGATTTTTGTATGCATAAAACTTAAACAATCAATAACACAAACCAGGTGGTGGTGGTCGCACAAGAGAGAGATAAAAGAAGAAGAAGAAGAAGAAGCAGGAGAGAGAGAGAGAGAGAGAGAGAGTTTTGTTAAAATATTATTTTATTATTATTTTACTTTATTTGTTTATTTTAAATACTTTAAAAGATTAAAAATTAAAGAGGGTGTACCATGAGTATTTTTTGTAGTTAAATAGGGTGTACTCAGTTAATTTTACATTTTAATTTAAACATCAGGGTGTACTTAGATTGTATGGTGTACTCAGTTAATTTTAGGGTTCGTTTAGCAACACTTTTTTTTTTTGTCACGTCGCATTTTTTATCAAAGTAGTTTGACTCATTTTCCACTTTGGTCATTGCCATTTTGAGGTTGGCAATTTTAATCATGTACTTTAATTTCCTTTGCAATCAAGTCCAAATCGTAAACTCCATCCCATCCCTCCAAAATTAAAATGACGAGAATCAAAGTAAAAAATAAGTCAAATTATGGGGACCAAAATGTAATTTGGCCTTGTTTATTATTATTTTCAAATTTTAAAGAAACATGACCAAATTGTTACATGCCATAAAAGAGTGTAAAATGTTGGATGTGGGCATGGATAACAAACTTTCAAGAAATGATTTTTATTATTTTTTATTATTTTACAAAGCGATATTCAAACTACTTTAATATACAAGAAGGAGGATTGAGGTGCAAGGAGGACACACACAGCCTTGGTCAACTAGCTTAATGCACATATGGCTTTACAAAATGTAATTTGATGGTTAGTAGTCCAAATAAAATTTTAAATCTGAGCCACTCTTTTAATCCGACGGCTCACAAGAGTATCCGCATCTTATCCTCACATATAACAGGGCAAGAGAGATGTGCTTAATCGAAAGAGGCTGCCTCACTCCAACGCTAAAGGCCAACCATTCGGAAGAGTACTGTTACAAAGAAGAGAATCTGGTTCAACCTGCATTTGACTAGATTGTTCCCCCGAGACGAATTGCACTTTCGCTTGATTAATAGGATAGGGGGGGCGCAAAAGAAACCGCATTTTCTTGATAGATTATATAACTAAGGCAGAGGGTAAGTATAGAGCAACTCTTCTATTACTCATTCAAAGATAGAAATTCATTAAAATAGAGATCTGAAAACCAAATATTTTTTAATAACACTTCCTTTTCTATCTTGAGAAAGAAATAAAACCTGATAAATACACAAGGCTACAATACCTTCTCTCACTTCTTTTTCTTCTTTTCCATTTTTGTTTTTCTCTTTATGCTATAGATAACTGTTTAGTTTTCCAATTTTTATTCTGGGGTCAGTCCGCTGTCATTGGTTGCGTCATGCAACACCTGAAACGGGCCTTGCGGACATTCGTCATGATGTCAGTCTCTGCATGCTCAAGCATCCTCACAACTTCAGTGAAGGGTGGCCTGACATCAGGGTTGGCATCCCAGCATCTCGTCATGATCTCGCCAAGAAGAGGTAAGCAGTCACTGGGAATGATAGGTCGGACACCCTTATTGACAACTGCAAATGCCGCCTGCACTGCTGTCATGTTCTGGAAGGGAAGCATTCCAGTTATAAGCTCCCAAAGAACAATCCCAAAGCTATAAACGTCAACTTTCTGAGTGTAAGGCCTATGCTGGATCATCTCCCTGCAGATAGCCATACGATAAAGCAATGCACACAAAGTAACGCACACCAAAAAAGTATAAGAGTTCAAGAAATAACCAATGAACACCAGATGCTAGTAACATCTCTCTAAAGTTGTCATCATCAAAGATCATTACTGATTTACATTTCGAAAACAGTAAAAAGAGACAGGCAATCCATATACTGTACACCAGGAATTTAACTGAAAAAATTTCCACTAGCAGTTCTCAAGAAAAAACAAAGTTCACAAAACAATTGATTTACAATTTAAAATCTTAATCAGCAATTTCAGTTTTTCTGGTTCTCATTTACCCATTTCTACATGTAATTCTGTTCATGAATCTATTTGATCACACCACTAACAAGCCTCTGGTTAATTCAACTACACCAAGCAATGTATTTGGGGCAGGTGCCAAACACGTAGCAACTAATTTAGAAAACAACAAATAAGAAACCCAAGAGAGAGCATCATTCTTCACGCAATAAAAGTGAAAGTTCCCAATTTCATTCAAATTATTAGATGAGATAATGCAGGTTTCTCAATCTCCATGTTCATTTGCAGGCATATGTCTTCCCCAGGGAAGAGTAAATGGTTATTATGCTAAAGAGCTATGAATAATCCCTATAGTTCACCAATTTCCAACACTTGATCTGATACTAAAAAGAGACTTTACAAGTGGTTATTGTTTCCAAGTTGTTTTCCTCTAACGAATATTTTGCATGCGGAGAAGCAAATGCCCCTAGTTAAATTTTTTAACAATTTTTAACTTCCAGTCACATGTACTTTAACTATAACTTTTATTATACCCAGTATCTCATTTAAGATCTAATTTTTGTTAAATTTTACATACAGTACATGCTGATCCTCATACAGATAAAATTGGCCACAGTTAAAATGATACACTTTTTTCAGGGCATATAAAGGCAAAAACTGAATGAACTAGGAAGTGATTCTAAACTAGTTTATTTAATACCTAATGCATATAGAGTTTGTTTTTAATCGGAGCATGCAATGACACAACCAAACAACAGACAACAATAACTTAGATGCCTGAAATTCAGTTTTCAGTTTAATTCGCATGGTAACTGATATTTTCATAGTCGCATCGTATACAGAAGAAAACAATTGATATCTAGCGCACATATATCCATGTAACTATTGTCTCCAGATACAATATACTTTCTGAAGAGCTAGTTGAAAATGTATTTCATGTCTGCTATTCAATATTCTGTTCAGTTCACACTATTGCATACAGATGCAGACACCACTTATTCAGGGCAAAGAGCATCCAGGATTGATACACCGCTTATTCAGGGTAAAGAGGATCCAGGATTGATACTAATTAAACCAACAATGAATGGCGATCAGCACCTTATCTAAGCACCTAATAATGAAGATCTAGACTTTGATAATGCTCATTTAAAAATGTATGAATAAAAGGTTTAAATTAGAAAGGTTTAACTATTATGATATTTCAATTTCTTATTAGGGTTTTTTTTTAGTCATTACGGGATTGCCACATCAACAATCCGGACTGTAAACATGGTTTCAGAATTTAACATGATGACTTGAGAAGTATTGAATCGAGTTTACTCCATTTTGTCTTTCTTTCTTCTCTTTCTTTGACATCTATTTTATCTATGCCTTTCAGTTGTTTCCTAATCTCTCCCTGTTTAGCATCAAGTGGAACAGAACCCAACATCAAATGCACGTCACCTCGAGATCAGTCCATTCCAGATATCAATGTTGCTGCTGAAACAACCACACATGCATCACATGCGTCCCTGTCTCACAGTAAGTTTTTGCTTTTCCTTTAGCATTTGTTCTATGCTTTTTCTTTGATTTATTCAAACTAGCATATAAGATATAATGCTTACAGATTTTATTATTAAGGTTTAATTATTATTATGTTTCAATTTATTATGATAGAGTTTCTCAAATGTCATATTCATTTGAGAATTATCGAATTGAGTTTTCCTACTTGGCCTCTTCTCAAATGACTATCCTTCTCTCCATTCTCTCTCAGTTTCACTCCCTGTCATGCCATCAGGCCCAGCACTAAGAAAACATAAATTTGTCAAATTCAAGAAATCAGTAAGTAAATTTACGAAATCTAGTCAACACAATGAAAGACATTAAAGATCAACAACTGCAACTCACATTTGAAACACGAAAATAAATAGTCACAAAAGTTCCAAGGATGAACCGCTTATATATTAAAAAGAAAAAAGAAGAATTTACACCAGCGCCAGAAGGATAAAAAACTCTAAGAGATATCCCTTAAGAACACAGGAGCATCACTAACAGAGACAGAAACAGATAGTCAATGTCTCTCATTTCAATCATTTGGGCAAGTAATTTCCAATATAAGTAAATTTGGGAACTTGTCAGACATGGGCACACATGAATCTCAACCAAATGCAAGCCAAAATGAAATGTTTGTCCCCCAAGAAGAGGCAACTCAAGGTTGAAAACTTTTTTAAAACCATTACAAATCAAAATGATCCCTCCTACATGTGCGACTCTGCTTGTCTCTCGTATCAGGGAACGTAAAAGTTTAGTAATAAAAAGAAAGCGGATAATAAGACAAATAATGTGGGATTTTGTGAGGAAACTTAAATAGGGAGCTGAAGTAATTAAAGTACGGAAATGGGGTTTTTTTTTTAAAGTATGTCAAAAGAAGATTAACCTCACAATATAAGAGTTTGTAATGTATAAGAGGGATGGAGACGGTTTCGGTAAAGACAAGTTTCTAGACACCAAATGAGTCCCTCATTATTACAGTCCAGATGAACCAACACATGTAATGCAGATTAAACCAACATGATAATAGATGACAACATGAAGCAAAGCATCTACTTTTTTAAAAATGCTTTTCTTCCTTTTATATGGAAAATCTATTCATGCACCCAATGAGATTTGAGCCCAAGACATCATACTCATGATGTAAGGAAACATCATTTAACCCAAAGATCATTAAATCTAACTCTATCTTATAATAAAATATAAGTTAAAAAATAAGAAAAGGGGAAATGATAGCGTAAAAGGATAAGAAATCATAGATAAATAGTAAAAAAAAGTCTTACGGAGCCATCCAACGGTATGTCCCAGTCTCTGGTGTCATGCCTTCTGTCTGCACCTCAATGCGGGCAACCCCAAAATCAGCAATTTTTATTGATTTGTCTGAAAAAATCAACAGGTTGTCAGATTTTAAGTCGCGATGAATCAGCCCAAGAGCATGAACATATGCCATCCCCCTCGCAACATCCAAAGCTTGCTTGACTGCTAATTTCAACGGAACTGATCGGCTCTGCCGCTTCATCAAGAACTGCCTAACTGAACCGCCCTTAGCATACTCTGTTACAATACACCAAACCATTGGTTTACGGCAGCCACCAATAAAACGAACTATGTTTGGATGTTTCAATGCAGCCAGCATCTTGACTTCCTGTTGAAACTGCTGCTCCATGACCTGGGCCTTTTCTGGGTCATTTTCTGGCCGCTCCAGAATTTTAATAGCAACATCCTCACCATTGTAAGTACCTCTATATAGCTTCCCAAAAGCACCTTGTGCAAAAGCTTCACCCATGTTTAGCTTTGTTAAGTCAATTGTCCACTCTTCATAATTCTCAAGCCCCTGTGTCAAGGAATGGCTGTCCATTAGGGCTCGAGCAAGCTGATCATCGCTCAGAGCATGTGTGACTCTTCCTCGGCGGTTAACACTGGTTTGGACAGAGTAGTTGTCATTTGCACGTCGCCGTAACCCTTGGTGGTTCAAGATGCGAGTATGGGAATCGTTAGTATTTGAAGCAACGCTGCTGTTATCTATAGACATGGCAACAGAGCCTCCATCATTGCTCGTTTGCATACTGTCAATAGACATGTTGGTACCCTCACCCTCACCCTCATGGAGTTTGTGGTAAAAGCCTTGCGACAAATCATAATAGTTGTTGTCATGGTTGTTTAGACCTATAATTCCAGGGAATTTGGCACCACCCTCCAACATTTCCTTCTACCCAAGCAAAACTTTCAAAGTTGCCCTACTTCTTCAGCATCAGAATTTCAAATTTCAAAGTACTCGACTCCCCCCTTTTTTTTTCAAGCCCCTGAAATCAAAATGGAACCACAAGTTTTCTTCAGCATCTAGTTTTCTAAGATTGGATCATGCAACGAGCAAATACCAGCAGTGGTGGTTTTTTTTTCTTTTAGAAATAAAAATACAGATTTATGGTTACAAGAATATTAAGAACCGAATCTTTACCACATATGGAAACTGTAGAAGACAAGACTGTTTAGGAGTTGCATTAAGGCTGAATTCCGATGTTTAAGTGAGCCGAAAACGGCAAATTTAGGTAGGTTGATTCTTGCCAAATAATCTCAATCAAGAAGGGCAATTAAGCACATATTTATGGAAAATTTCAAATTATTAATTAATATATAGAAGCAATCATAACAATTTTCCGAAAAATAGTATAGCCTAAAACCAATTATAGGAAATGAAAGAAGGAAAGAAATTGGACAAAATCGAGAGCTAATTCTCGTAGTAGGAAATCAAGGAGAATACAAGTTGAAAAAATTGGAATTTGAATCTGATCCCCGGAAACACAAAGCTGAAGCTAAATTCCGAATAGCACAAACCACAGATGGAAAACCCACTAATTTGATAATTCCACCGATTATCTAAGACAAAGCGTACCTCAAGTCCGATTGAAGAGAGATCGAACAGCGCAGAGGAAGGAAGGAAGGAAGGAAGCAAAGACCTCTTGTTTCTTCTCAGTCTTGTTACAGTCTTGTTCTATCTCTCACTTTCCTTTTTCTATTTTCTAATAATATTTGATGATGTTATTGACATTTTATTGCACCAGGGACGGAGGGAAGTCTTGGGTGTTATCTATCGTATCCTACCCACTCTCTCACTGTTATTCTTATTCCATATGTACATGTATTTACACTATTTTATTTCATTTATAAAATAAATTAAAAAAACTGCAACGCGCTTTTTCATTCAATTAATTAAATCTCTTTCATATTAATTAGACCAGCCAAGCCAGCGCTTTGTCTGGAATGTGCTGCTTTATTTTTTGTTTTTTATTTTGTTTTTAAAAAGAAGTGTTTTTTTTTTGTTTTTTGTCAAACACTAGAGATATTGCATTTATAAATTACGCCATAAGCGCAGTACAAATACAAAAAAACAAATGCCACCGAAGGGCTACACCAAACACAGAGGGATCTAATCATAGCAATAAACTTATATGATACACCTCCACTTAAAGCCACACAGACCAACTTAATGTCACACCTGGCAACAGATAATCAGACTTAATCGCCTCAAATATGTAATAACTAAGTACATCACTCATAATGCAACTTACAAACCCAAATTCTCCCAAAGAGAAACCACAACCACGCATCAAACTCAACAAAATTAATGTACTTATTGGACCAAAACATAAACTGAAAACCAACAACAGCCAACCCAGCTCATAACTATGGCTTGAAAGAAGGTAAACCTGAAAAGTTGAGTGGTGGTATTATCGTTCGAAAACCAAAACCTATTTTTCTCAATTTTCATTATTCTTAAGTTGTCTCGACTTCTTCAATTATTAGATTAAATTACTCTAATCTAATATTTACTAACGAAAGATGGCGGTTTTCTAGCGTTACATGCTGATTTACATGCAGTCATGCAATTACACCTAAAGCTTGTCATATCAGTTGTCTTTTGCATGGAAGATTGCACTTCTCATTCTTTTTTTTTTTATTCATTCACGTTTAAAATGCAAATCCATTGCAATAAAAGTATGTAATTGACCTTAGGTTTCTCGTAAAAATAAGTTGATAAAAATTATATGAAGAAAACGTAAAACCCTAGGAGGAAACTTGTGTGTAACATTCTTCTTCTTTTTTTGTCTGAAACCACGAGGTAGTCCTGGATGGGACCCAACTATGGGTGACACCTTTAAGCCTTAACCACAATCCAGACTAATCCCCGCTCACACCGGGTCGGCCCATAAGGGGTAAAGTCCTGGCCAAAGTTGTGACTCCATACGAGAGCAGGGATCGAACCCCTGACATCTCTTAAGGAATGAGAGTGCCGAACCACTCACACCAACCACCTTGGTTTGTAACATTCTTTTTCACTAGTCACATAATGAGAAAAAAGAAAAAGAAAAAAAAAGAGTAATATATTACTCGTCATTTAAAACTTGTGTATAACATTCTTTTTCTCTCTGTCAGACATGCATGAAGGTTTTTTTTTTCCAGACATTCCAATAAATGCCATGGCATCCACGGCAACCCTTTTAATGGTATTTTTTCTTAAATTATAATAAATAATAAAAATTAGGAGCTGATTTTCTCACGCATCTTTTGTCTACTTACACTACCTTGTATGTTATAGTAAAAGGTATTTAAAAAAACAAAAGGGAATATAAGTGGACAAAAGGAGAGTGGAAAAATAGCACCCTAAAAATTATAGACTTAAATGTTAAAATGGTCCCTATGTTTTATCTCATAGGCCAATTTAGTCCCTGTGTTATCAATTTGGCCAATTTGGTCATTGTGTTTGTATATGTTAGTCAATGTGGTCTATTTCCTTAAAAATATTAAATTGGCCGATAAGGTAAAACACAAAGACCATTTCGACATTGAACCTTGCTCACCGATTGAGTTGCTTCATTTTACTCCATGCAAATCTATTGTCTTGTTAATTATTTTTGGGTGTTTTTTTTTGTTTTATATATTTTTTTCCCCGAGTGAAGGAGGGAAACTCACACACATAGGTACCATAGGGGCTTCTTTTTTTTTTTTTTTTTTTGTTGGCTTGATAGACTTTTCATTAAAAAAAAATTACTAATAGATTAGACTAGGAACTTTTAGAATGTAGAACTTTCAGCACCCTCAATTTCATTCCATTAAAGAATTACTGGGTCACGAAAAACACACAATCCCATTAATAATCCCAGAAAAACACACTCCCATTAATAATCCCAGCTGAAGCGATAAGTTAAGACAAAACTTTCTTCATGGTAAAAATAATTCAAGGCAATTCAAGTTTCAAATATGCAAATTGCTGACAACTTGACTGTTTACCTTCCAAATTTCAAACACATGAACTGCAACTATGCCATGGTCAATTGCTCTTTACCTTCACTAGGTTATCCTACATGAAATGGAATGGTCTAGGTAACGTGGTTCCTCATGAATCCGAAGCCTTGGAATTCACACAACGGTTAGTGAAAAGAAAATGATAAGTGCAACCAGGCTTAGAGGCTTTTGGAGGCACCCGAATCTCCTTTCTGCACCGCCATAATATGGTTCGATCATTATCTCAAATCTGCAAGATCCAACTGATGGGTTTGTTTTGGTGATCATTGAAAGGTTTGGAAACTTGCAAGCTACATCAAGTTGATTGTTCCTCTGGTAGTAACTATTAACCGCATACGAAATGTTTCCTCGAGCATCCAAGCTGCCACAAGATGTTCCGTAACCAAGGCTGGTGCAATCGGCAAGTCCACAAGCATAACTCACACTCAGTGCTACTTGTGGGTCATCAAGGTTCGCTGATGGCTTCATCACACACCACTTGCGCTCCAAATAGTGCACACCTTTTGCTGGAACTAAGGACCCTGAATTTGTGCTGCCAAGGTTAAGCTGGTATTTTGCTATCCCATCAAAAGTAAATATTCCCCAGTGTCGTTCAAAATTTCCTGGATCAATGCTTTTAGCATCCTCGTCAATCAAACTGAATAGATAAGCATCAATTGGACCAGGTCTCATTGGGGTTCCTCTGCCACCCAATGTGTGGGACATGAAACCTTGGTTGAACCTCTGAGCATAAACTATGTTAGCATTCTGGTCTCCATCTGTTGGCCATCCAATCTCTCCAACTATGATTGGTAAGTTTCCAAAGCCATTCTTTTGCAGGGCCCACACAAGAGTATCATAATTTGCATCAAACATATTGTAGTAGGTTAAACTACCATCTGTAATAGGTGATGCATTGCCATCAAAGAAAGCATAATCAACAGGGAAGTTGGAGTCAATGTAAAGGCTTATAAAGGGGTAAATGTTCACGGTGAAGGGGGCACCATTGTCACTCAAGAACTTGACAATTTGAAGCATTAGCCCATGGATATCAGTTCGGAAGTCACCACCTGATGGAAGCCCATTTGAACTTGCATAGACATCAGCATTGAGGGGTACAGTCACCTTTACTTGGTTGCTAAGGCCAGCTTTTATCAGGGCAGACTGGACATTCTGCAGAGCAGGGAAGGTTGTTCTGAGGAAGCTGCCATTGTATGTTTCCAAGAAAGGTTCATTTCCAACTGCAACATACCTAGGATGAACACATGCAAAGATGTCAAGACTATGCAAAGCTTGCAATAAGTAGAAGAATAAAAGGTTCCTCTGCACATTATACAGCATAGTTAAGCATTGCACATGAAATTAATCAAGGAACATCATCAAAACAAATAAGTTCCTGGTTGTCCTTATGGAATTGCCAGAGAGGATATTTAATAATTTCATGACTCTATTCACTTAGCAAAAACCTCAATAAGTATGTGATGCATTGATATGTGAAAGAATCAGAATACACAAATAAAATCCAAATAAGTTCATGGTCATCCTTGCAGAATTGTTGGAGAAGGCTACTTATAATAGTAAAACATTAGGTTATCTTCATAAAACAAGCACATTATGGAGTATAATGCAATTCAAAGAAGATGCCAAGCCATGACTCATATCATACCATATATTAAGTGAGATAATTATCTTTAAGTTGCACCGAAGCTTTTTAAGATAAAACCCCACCATTGAATGCTTACAAGGTGGTCAAGTAGGAGAGTGCAGAAAATGTAAGTCCCCAAGAAGTCGTATTAGAGAATGGTTTGGCTGGAACGAATAGAAAACTTATAGTGTTGTCTTCCCTTTTACGATAAAACTCATACGCTAAAGCTTACAAGGTGGTTAAGTTGGGGATACTATCAGTACAAGATGGGGACCAAAAGATGTGGCCCCAGCCAATGTGCATAAGACTCTGACATCAAGTTGGGGATAATATGTTTGATTTTACTATATAATTAGTCATTATTGTACAGTCTCATTTAAACTTAAAACATTAAAGAATGAATAAAACATATGATGAGGAGAAGTAGTTAATTAAGAACAATGCATTGTCAATACAACCAATACCCAATACGAATCATCGTCAACAATGAAAATTATGCACAACTGAAATGCTCCACTCAGTTGTGAACAATTAATTTTCATAAGATATAAGCACCCGCAAAATAGCTAAAGGTAATCTTAGTTCTATATAGTACCAAACCAAAACCCAATACAAAATCTTCACCAAGAAGGAAAATTATACATAACTGAAATGCTTGCACCAATTTGGGAACAATTAATTTTCATGATATAAATATGCACAAGATAGCAAAAATTAACGTAGTGACAGTAGGGGCTAGGAGGGTATTTCTCAGTCTCCCTAGAAGGCTAAATCCCAAAGATAGCATGACTTTTTCTCTCATACCAGTTTGGTTCTTGTCAACGTGAAAGGATTAGAATTTGGGAACAGTGATGGTGGAATAATGTTCCTTTCTTGCTTTGGTTTTTGTACGAATTTTAGAATTTGATGCTCTGTATTCATCTCATTCGAGGTATACAAGGTTGTTACATGAAAGCATAAAAACCAAGTGAAATAAGAATTACAAAGTTGTAGCTCAGATCATATACATTTATCCTGTGAGCTCTAGCTTAAGTGGCATTGAGATGGATGGGAAAGTGGCAGGTCCTGGGTTCAGATCTTATTCTTTGTATATAAAACATATATATATATATATATATATATATATATACACACACATTAAGAGGGGCATGATGCATTTCCTGCTCGAGAAACAGGGCAATGATAAATTCTGAAAGTGTACAAGCAAGCATCAAGTAAACTTTGTAGAGTGTAGAAGAAATGAATGGGGGTGGGGAGGAAGGTTTACCTGATCTTGACATTACTGGAGGAGTGTGCTGAGACATTCTTGGAAACCCATTTCTCAGCAGCCTTAACGCTGGTGGCCAGAGATGCAAGCATATCATTAGGAATACCAACCATGACCTCAACCCCAGACTTGCCCAGGGTTCTCAATGTGTCATAATCCGCATCAAAAAGCTTAACCTTTCGAATCCCATTTTCTCTCAGCAGCCTAACTACAGTGTCTGGGGGAAGAGGGTGGGATGCCTGTGTGCCCCAGTTTGCACCAATGCCACTCACTGTGCACATCATTGAAACCAAACAAACTACCTTGATACCCACTGAAAACCACCTCATTTTCTCCTTCAAATAATTCAAAATTCAAACACACAAGTTGGCCAGGTTGAAGGTAAAGACAGCTAGTCTTGATGCAATGTGACGCAGGCAGAGTTAGCAGCAGCAAAGCAAATAAATGGCAAAAAAACGCAAAAGCAGAGAAGGTTGCTAAGTGAGTGGAGCACCCCAAGTCCCAAGTGAAGTGATGCAAGAAAATGAAATTAAGGTGATGAGGAGCGGATCTAGGAAGGAAGAGAAGCTAGAGTGTCTCCACATACATCAAAACAGAAAAAGGAATCGTACCCATGCCATGATTGAGCTGGAGTCTGGAGCTGATGATACACCTCAACAGATGACAGACGGCGTGATGAGTGAGAAAACAGCAACAGGAAGGAACAGCTCAAAGAAGAGCCTAACTAAAACTGCAGCACTACTAACTAATACACAGATTCTTGAAGGAAATATGAAATTATATATTCGGGTGTTTAACTAATTAGAGGAAAACCCAGATTTGAATGAAGTAGTAGCTACCGCTACTAGCTAGCTAGTGCAAGTTTACAATACAAATCCATAGAGAAAAGGCAAAATGGAAAAGGAGAAGATTTACTTTAGAGTAAGTAATTAAAAGGACTTGAACAAATTTAAGATTCTCCTCTCTTCTGCCGCTGTGGAGTAAGATTAATAGAAAGAAGGATAAGCTCGCTCAAGAATCTCTCTTCCAAAAAGGACCTCTACTTCCTAGAGAGAGAGAAGAGAGAGAGAGAGAGGAAAGTGAAAAGTTAGTAAAGGAAAGCTGCAAAAGATATCATATACAGATAGATACAGACGCAACGCAAGCACAGCAAACAATGTGCACGCACTTGCGTTGTGTTCTGTCTTGTTATTATAGAGAGAGGCAAACGCTTGTAGCATCTTTTGCGGTACACTGTACGCACTTGTGAAGTGGCAATTGTTATTTGCGGGCCATCAGGCAGTTCCTTTAACGGCGATATCACGTCGTTATGTGTATGCTGCTTCAGCTAACGTTTCTTAAACAGCCGTTGGTCGGTCAGCATTTGAATTCTGATCAGTCCTGCCTGACACTCGCGACTACAACTTACCATTCACGCATTCAATCTTTTCCGTCCTTTTCGTTCTTATTGGGCAACTCTATGTGTGCACCCAAGGAGTAACCAGTCGTCCACAACATTTATCTCATTTTCAAAAGGTTCAAGTCCCTTGAAATATTGGTCAATTCCTACTAAACTCCCTTAAAGTTGCAGTGATTCACTTTGCCTCCTTGACCGATATTTTGTGTCCTACTTTGCCCCTCACCGTCAAGTCTGTTAAAAATTATTACGTGGCACTAATGGGACCCACTATTTTGCTAAACTAAGTGCCATGTGTGAGGAAAAAAAATTAAAAATTAAAAATTGTCTTTTGACAAACTTAATTTAACTATTAAAAATAAAAATATTACTTTAAAACCAAAAAATACCCAATTCCCCTTCTCCAACCCCATTATCCCTTCCCAGCATCACTCGCTCTATATGTATCTCCCATCTCTCTTTCTTCTCCTCTGTCTTTCTCCATATATGGGAAGGGAAGCTATAAAACCCCAAACCCTAGAAATCACCCATCACCTACAACGTCACTACCACCTTAGATTCCTAACTGAAAATTTTCCTTTGTTGTTTCCCCTTTGCTTCTGCGTCCTAACGTTTCATGCCCTCACTTTCTCCCTCGATTTCTCTATTTAATCTCCATAACTATCGCCCTCTCTCATATTCGTATCTCATCGGTATAACCATGTCCTTCGCAGGCTTCATATGAAAACCAAACCCAGAAACCCAAAATTTTTTCTTTTTCAATTTACCTTGTTTTTACTTCTTCACTTTTAGTTTTTTTTTCTTCATCTTCATTTTACTTCAAACGTTCACTTTTTTGCTTGATGGCACAAAATATAATACGTGTGTAAAAATACAACTTATAGGAAGAAACTATGAAGAAGATTATGACTGATGAGCCAGTAAGTTGATGCATAGTCGAATTGTAATTCACATAAAAAGTTGGATTCAAAATTTTATTCAAAATGAGTCTCGAGTTTGTTAAGCGAGTCGGCCAAGACAATGTCTCCTTGTTCAAAATTTTATTCAATTTCTTGGAGGTCGTCTTGGATTGGGTCCTTTCTTAATTGGATTTCGGATTTAAGGGTTTTCAGGCGTTTGTTTGGGGAAGAAAAAGACGACATGTCTGTGTCACCCGCCATTGGCACATTCCAGAAGCAGATTCAAGAAAATGATATGCTCTGTATATTGATTTTTCAGAATGAATTACAATTGAGTGTCAACAGTGTCATATATCTCTATAACCGAGACTTAACAACCTAACTAATTACAGCTAATACTAACTAACAACACGTGAGCACACACGTGACTGCTTAACTGAATACAAACTAACTAACTAATATTTTTATCATTCGCCCTCAAACCCAACTCTGGATCCTGCTCTGGATTTCCAAGTCGCATACTAATACAGTGACTTAAGAAAATAGGACTATGCAGTCCTTTAGTAAACACATCTGCAATTTGCTCTTGAGTAGGAACATATTGAAGCACCAGATCATTCCTTTGAACCCTTTCACGAACAAAGTGAAAATCTGTATCCAAGTGTTTGATTCGTGAATGATAAACAGGATTACTACTAAGTGCCAAAGCAGATAGATTGTCACAAAAGATGGTAGGAGGTTGAGGTAAGCACACTTTCAAGTCTAGCAAAACCTGTCGAATCCAAGCCAAATCTGCAGCTGTATTAGCCAATGCCCTATACTCGGCCTCTGTTGAACTTCTGGATACAGACCCTTGCTTCTTAGACTGCCATGAGATAGTATTATGTCCAAGCAATACCACAAAACTTGTAGTTGACCTCCTAATATTTAAGTCCCCCGCCCAGTCAGCATCACTATAAGCTTGTAATTGCCAAGGACCATGAGTAAAGTGAATCCCATAATTCATAGTACCTTGAATGTATCTCAAAATTCTTTTGACCAGGTTGAAATGTATCTCAGTGGGAGCAATCATATACTGACACACAACATTGACAGCATAGGATAAGTCAGGTCTTGTGAAAGTTAAGTATTGCAAGGCACCAACAATACTTCTATAAAATGTAGGATCCTGCAGTTGTTCTCCTTCAGACATTAAAACTTGATTATGTGGTTTGCAAGGAGTAGAACAAGCCCTACAATTACTCAGACCAGCCTTTTTCAACAGATCTTTAGCATACTTGTGCTGATTTACAAAAATGTCACTTGTAGACTTGTAAGACATCTGAAGGCCAAGGAAATAGGTAAGTTGTCCCATGTCCTTCATCTCAAACACAGCTCCTAAATCATCAATCACTGTCTGCACTAACTGTGCATTGGAACCTGTCAAGATGATATCATCAACATATAATAATAAAATGACAATATCAGTGCCTTCATGCTTGACAAATAAGCTGGGATCAGAATGAGATGATTTGAACCCTATAGCTGGCAAATATCCTGTAAATTTGGCATTCCATGCCCGTGGAGCTTGCTTAAGTCCATACAGAGACTTATTCAACTTACACACAAACTCAGGATGCTTGGCGTCTTCAAAACCTTGAGGTTGCCTCATAAAAACTTCTTCTTCAAGCTCCCTATGTAAGAACGCGTTCTTAACATCCAATTGTCTCAAAGACCACTTGTGCATAGCTGCGAGACTGAGAATTAATCTCATTGTTGTATGCCTTACAACAGGACTGAATGTTTCACTGAAGTCTAAGCCTGGTTCTTGACTAAACCCTTGAGCTACCAGTCGAGCCTTATACCTTGCAACAGAACCATTTTCATGTCTCTTGATTTTGTAAATCCATTTGCTACCAACTATGTTTTTCTGTTGAGGACAAGGGACCAAAGACCAAGTACCTTGCATCTGCAATGCATCAATCTCTTCTTGCATTGCTTGAAGCCAAGCAGGAGACTGAGATGCTACTTTATAAGAAAAGGGTTCAGTCTCTTCATGAATAACAGGTAAGCTTGTATAATAACAATGATAATCAATAAAAGCCTTTTGTTGACTAAGACCACTCTTAGCCTTAGTCTGCATAGGATGAACATTAGTAGATTGAGAAGTAGATGACAAACTAGATGCAGAAGAATTATCATCACTAGAAGAGGCAATAGGCAGAATAGCTTGTAATTGCTGATCAGTTAGAATATTAGAAACTACATATGTACCAATATCATGCTGCATGGAATCAATTGGACCAATATCCTGAGGCATTGAAGTCTCTTGAGACACGGAACTATGAGAATCACTAGAGACTAAAGAGGGCACAAAAATCACTAGTGGAGCTGTAGTAGATGAAGACATAGACGACGGCATGGAACTAGATTCTGTAAAACCTTGAGAAGGATGGCAGGTCTCATCATGGACTACATGTCTAGATATCACAAATTTTCCAGTATGAAGATTGTAACATGTCTAGATATCACAAATTTTCCAGTATGAAGATTGTAACATATAACTCATTTATATCCTTGAGCATATCCAAGAAAAACACAAGGAGCAGTCCTAGGTTCAAGTTTATGTACATTGTAAGGTCTCAAATAAGGATATACTGCAGTCCCAAACATCTTAATATGTGTAATATCAGGAACACTACCATAAAGTCGATAATAAGGAGACTGAGAAGACAAGCTCTTACTAGGCATTCGATTTATTAAATAGGCAGCATGAGCAGTGGCATGAAACCAAAATGAACTAGAAAGATGTGCATCAGTTAAAAGGGTGATAGCGGTTTCAATCAAGTGCCTATTCTTTCTCTCAGCCAATCCATTTTGCTGAGGAGTATATGGACAAGAAAACTAATGTTCAATGCCCTTAGAAGCCAAAAAAATCAGTAAAAACCTTACTAACAAACTCTCCACCTCCATCACTTTGAAAACACTTGATATTGGCATTAAATCGATTACCAAGCAAGGCATAAAATTTGAGAAACATAGGGAATAGTTCTGATTTATGATAGAGTGGATATAACCACATATAACCAGTACACTCATCAACAAAGATTACATAGAATCTATAGCCATCCATAGACTTCACCCTAGACGGCCCCCACACATCGCTATGTATTTTATGAAAAGGGATAGAGACTCTTACATGAGTAGTAGGAAAAGGAAGTTTGTGCATTTTCCCATGAAGACAAGCAGGACAAACAAAAGACTGACAATCATCACTGTATGAGATGTTGTAATCCTTGAGCATAAGTTGCACCACTTCATTAGTTGGATGCCCCAACCGTTAATGCCATAGAGAAGACTTAACCCGCTGACCAAGAAAAGCTACGGATGAACTTGAACCAGATTTTGAATGCTTTGACTTCTGCAAAGACGACCTCACAGAATTAGGGATGGGATATAGACCGTGACTACTCTTGCCTTGGAAGAGGATTTGCTTGGTGAACTTGTCCTGTATATAAAATCCAGACACATCAAATACAACATTACAGTTGTTATCTTGGCATAATTGGTACACAGATAATAAATTGGCCTTGAGTTGAGGCACATGAAAGACAGAGGGAAGACGTAAAGAAGAATCAGCACAATGAAGTTTAGCATTGCCTATATGACTTATATGCAAACCTTCCCCATTGCCCACCGTAACATTCTCAGCAGAATCACAAGCAGTCACATTAGTCAGCTGATCCAAATTAGACACCATATGATGTGTAGCACCACTGTCTGTGATCCACACTTGATCTGGATTATAGGTTGTCTAAGTAGTCATAGCAGTCAAGGAGGGAGGAGGACGCTGACCTTGAAAGGCATAGTTAGACCGATGGAAACAGTCTAACG